CTCATGCATACACATATTAATAAGTGTATATATATATAGCACCAAATCTAAAAAGTACGTGACATCTATCATGTGTTTAGAACTTGGTTTAGCCTTGGCAAGTTTTTGACTGTGTTTTGGCCAAAAAAAAAAAAAACAAAAACAAAAACCTTGGCAAGTTATTATAAGTCAAAATGAATTTAAAACAGAAATAGAAATGGTTCAATAATAATTTAGCCTGTCAATTATATCATAACCATGTTGCGCAGAACATTTATTTGAACTTTGAACTGCAAAGTGACAAAAATAAAAATTGAATGAACTAAAAATTTTCAAACACAAACAAAGAAAGCGTGTTATGTCCCCAAACATGGAAGAAATGCATTCTAGGATAGATCAGTTAAAGCCCCATGGTTCACTGGAAATTAATGGCTCCATGTCTAAAGACAAAGCTGCTTCAGAGTTTAAACCTGAGCCTGTTGAATTTGAGACATCATCCCAGAGATCGGTTACTTTAGTTTTGACATACCTAGCCTCTTTGTTGACCATTTGAAATGTTTTGCGAAAAATGAATCCGCTCTATCTCTGCAGCAACTTCTATCATCTTTGGCCACTTTTTACCGCTCAAGCTCAAGCATCGATATGCAAGTTTAGCAACCTTTGTTATCTCTGCATGTGCAGAACTCTCTCTTACTTAAGCATCAAGAGGAACTCTCCCTTACTTGAGCATCAAGAATATTAAAGAGTCTATTCTCTTCCATGGAAAAAATGAAATGTGAGGCCAAACTTCTTGCATCCACTTCCTTTGTCCTTACTAAAGAAATTGGTTTTTCTCCAGTTAAGAGCTCAACCAGGACAACTCCAAAGCTGTAAACATTACTCTTTTTTGTAAATTGACTTGATCGGAAATATTCAGGGTCCAAGTACCCAAATATGCCCTTCACATTTGTGCTCAAATGAGTTTGATCAATGGCAATTGATCTTGATGTCCCCAAAGCCTGAAACTATTGCCCTGTGCTTTTCATCTAGTAGAATATTTGAGTACTTGACATCTCTATGATAAATGGGAATGGAGGCTGCTGAGTGCAAGTACGAAAGTGCAGCTGCAACTTCCGCTGCAGTTGTTTTCCTTCTTTCCCAGGTTAATGGGAAGTCCTCATTTTGATCATGTCTGTACTGGAAAAGTGTCCCGTTGGAGATGAATTCATAAACAAGCAGAGGAACTTCAGTCTCCAAATAACAGCCTAATAACTAAACAATATTTCTATGGTTAATTTGTGTAAGAATGACCACCTCATTAATGAACTCTTTAACTTTCTCTTTATGCAGTCCTTTGGACATCTTAACCGCAACAATTCTTCCATCAACCAACATTCCTTTATAAACTGTGTCATAGCCGCCTTGACCAAGTATTCCATTCCTATTGAAATTGTCAGTTGCTTTCTCTAACTCTTTGGTACTAATTATTTTGGTCTTTTCAATATTACCCTCAGTTGAAGATGGTTGTTACTGCAATAATAATAAACCTCCATTTTGTTTGAAGAACTGCTTTTGAAGCCTCTTTTTCCTTCTCTTCTTTAAGATTTTGTCCAACCATCATGTACCAATGGTAAACACACTACTCCTGACCCTAGGCTAATACCTGCAGATATCAAGAAAGGAGAAACAGATGACGTTAGGAAGAGATATGCATGTATATCAACACTTGATTTATAAAAATGTCCAGTTTCGTGGTTAGACTATTCAAATTTCAAAATGAAATGGAATGAAATTAATAAAAGTCCACAGGATTGCGCATGGTCTTGAAGAAAGATCTTTAGGTGAAAAAGATGATGAGAGATGGTGTTAGTATTGAAGCTGGGGATGGTAGATAGACAAGCAAACCTCCCTTTGTTATGACTGTTGGCTACAAGAAGACAGAATTTGTGAAAGGCTAGAAAAAATAGCTGAGTTCACTGTGGGCAGCATGAAACAAAAGTTCTCAGTGGAGACAATCTGGATGGCTGATACCAACTAGATATTCTGGTATGGTGGCTGAGATGAAAGGCTTGATTTTGTCTAAGGGAGCAGATAATGTTTTCTTGCACTCAAGAGGCTTATCAATCAATTAAAGTTGTCAATTGTCAATTGATGAGATTCCAGGTTTATAGAGTTCCTTGGTTTAGATAGGTGTGGCAGTGTGGCATTCTCGTGGGATTCCTAGACAACTGTTTATCCTATAGATGCTAGTGACAAGCTTTGTTGAAGACATAGGTATTGAACTGCAAGGGTATGCGTTTGAGTTTAAAATTGATTTTGAGTTTAAAATTGATTTATATTCAAAAAATGATAAATAAAAGTCCGAAAATATGGATCTTACCCAAAATTATAGGCAGGCTATTTTGCCTTTGGGTTTGCAAACGTAGTCCCCTATCTTATTTGCACATATTGAGTCCCAACCACAGTAAAAAATGTGCCTGGGTTCATTGCATTTGTCAATATCCAAGACAAAAAGAAAAAGAAAAAAAATGAATAAAATCAGCAAGACAATACTAACAAAAATAAAAAATATCATGGCATAATAAAAAAATTCCAATTGGTACAGCTGCCACCCTTGGTTTACCTTGACATCCATAAGGTAGGGAGCGAAGAAGTATTATAAAAGAAGGAAGAATTAGCAATGGTACCATTAAACTGGGAACAATTAAATGCATGATCATAATATATGGTAATTGTGATGCATCCTCATCAGTAATCACCCAGTCTAACACAGCTGGAACATATCCCTCAGGGGGCAACGACATTCTCTTTTTGTAGAACATGAAAGGATTTCCCGAGAAATCCAAAAATTTCAAACTAACAGAACACTGCTGGGATGTGATTGGCATTTGGACATTAACTATGCCGTGATCAAGAGAGAAATACAGCACCTCAGTCTCTATGCTGGTTAGTAAAGTTGTAGGAGGGTTGGAAGTTTTGTTGCAGGAGACCTCAAACCCTTTGTGCATGTAGCAATCTGCTCTGATTCCAAAGGAATATGGAATGCTGACATTCCCACAACGCTCTTTATAACCAGGCTTCACCAGAGCCTGGCCTACTGCTGACTCAATCATTAGCAATTGTAGGAAAGCAAAGATAGATGTTCTCGTGATGATCATCATTCTTTTGTTCCTCAGATGCTTATGAGATTTGAGATTTAGGAAACATTTTGTAAATGAAACTTTATATATTGTAAAGATGAAGAAATGTACGTAGGATGCATGTTTTGGGACTAACTGCCCAAACATTGAAGTCCAAACTCCGAAGGAAGAAAGACTCAACTGGCCGGCTTCACTAAATATAATCTGATGCATTACTAGAAAATTTTAATCCACTTGAAGATTCATTTTCCTTTTAGAGGATGGTTGGTCGCCACTTGGGAATATCCTAAGCTTCTAGTTTCATGTAAAATTCTAATGTTTAGATATCATTAACACATTCACCTGTTGACCAATTGATGAATACTCCTTTTAGTTTGATTTAGTTCGTCTCACTTACTAAACAGACCTGGTCTAATTAGTTGTCTCACTTGTTAAATAGAGGCTGTCAAATTTAGTTATCTCACTTTTTATTTTAAAAAGACTTTTTTTTTTTAATGAAATTTTAAAAAGACTTTAATAAATACTAGTATTTCAATTTTCATTATCTGAGATGAAATAAAAATGCATTTGAGTTTTTTGGTTTAATTGTAAGGATGAAAATGAAAAGATGTAGACTGAATTACATCATCTTGATTCTCCATATTATGCACGGTGGAAATTAGGCCTCTTCTTGTCTTATGATACTTGTTTTGACTTTCGAGTTTGCAGATGGAAGAAAACTACTTGGAAGGCTATTTTAAGGGAATAACTGTCTACTTTGACGCTTCTGCACACACGTAAGTCTTATTACCTGGTTTTTCAATGCTATAATTACCATGTTATCTTAGAATATGTTATTTTGGCTATACAGGAATTAAGGGCATTTCATGCTAGTCTGATAATTGTTTTGTTAATGCTGAAGGTGTGAATAACTATATTTTCCTTTCAAATTTCTCCTCATACTTTCATAAGATAAACCAAGCAAGGAAAATATACTCAATGCTTTACTGCGAATACTGCTGCTAAGATAAATTTATCTGAGTGGTGAAAGTTTCAAGATAGTTGAGCTGGAATTAGGAAATGACTTTGTGCTAGCATTTTGAGGAATATGATTAAATAACTCATGCATACACATATTAATATGCACATAGCACCAAATCTAAAAGTTGACTTAATTTAATCTTGGCAAGTTTTTGTGAGACAAAGAATTTAAAACTGGAAAGGAAATGGTCTTAGCTGTCATCATGATATCAAATTATTGTAACCAAGCAGTGCATAAACTTTATTTGAACTTTAAACTACAAAGCAACAAAAATAAAAATTAGATGAACTACAAATTTTCTAACACTAAAGAAAGAAAGAGCTTATTATGTTCCTCAACATGGAATAAATGCATTCTAGGATAAATCAGTTAAATCCCCGTGATTTATTGGAAATTAATGGCTGCATATCTATGGACAAAGAAGCTCCAGAGTCCAAACCTGAGCCTATTGATGTCGAGGTACCATCCCGGAGATTGGTTACTTCACTTTTGACATATATAACCTCTTCATGATTCTGTTGACCATTTGAATTGTTTTGCAAAAGACGAATCTGCTCTAACTCTGCAGCAACTTCTATCATCTTTGGCCGCTTTTTACCATTCAAGCTCAAGCATCGAAGTGCAAGTTTAGCGACCTTTGTTATCTCTTCATGTGCAGAACTCTCCCTAACTCGAGCATCAAGAATACTAAAGAGACGATTCTCTTCCATGGAATGAATGAAATGAGAGGCCAAACTTCTTCCTCCTTCTGCCCTTGCTAAAGAAATTGGTTCCTCTCCTGTTAAGAGCTCAGTAAGGACAACGCCAAAACTATAAACATCACTCTTTTCTGTAAATTGACTAGATTGGTAATATTCAGGGTCTAGGTACCCAAATGTGCCTTGAACATTTGTGGTCAAATGAGTTTGATCAATGGCAATTGATCTTGATGTCCCAAAGTCTGAAACTTTTGCCCTGTACT